AAGCGATCGAGCGGAACCAAGGCTCCAAAGTCTTTGCCAGAGATCTGTCTGCCAGAAAGAGCCAACTGTCAAAGCTGAAGACAGAATGTGGCAGCATTGTTTCCGGGGCACCTGAGATTTTGAGTGAGATTGAGAGGTTCTATGGGCATCTGTACACGTCATCATTGGAGCCACACGCGAGTGTGAGTAACGATCCAAGAGCAAGTCTTATCCGACATTATTCCAATGATATCCCGGACGTCAGTCTGAGCGAGATTAAAATGGCTCTCCAGTACCTTAAAAACGGCAAGGCCCCAGGCGAGGATGGAATTACAGCGGAGCTTCTGAAAGCGGGTGGAAAACCGGTACTTGAATTTCTTCAGAAGCTCTTTAATTCCGTCCTCCATGGTGGCATTACATCGGAGGCGTGGAACAGAAGTGCGGTGGTCTTGTTCTTCAAGAAAGGTGACAACGCTCTCTTGAAGAACTACAGACCGATTTCCCTTCTGAGCCGCGTCTACGTGCTGTTTTCGAGAGTCATTACGAATCGTCTCGCGCGCAGACTTGACAACTTCCAGCCTCCCGAACAAGCCGGTTTCCGAAAAGGCTTTAGCACCATAGACCACATACATACCCTTCGGAAAATTGTACAAAAGTCAGAGGAGTACAATTTGCTACTATGTCTGGCGTATGTGGACTATGAGAAAGCCTTTGATTCCGTCGAAATTTGGGCGGTGCTGCAGTCCCTTCAGCGGTGCCAAGTGAACTGTCGGTATATCGAAGTGCTGAAGTGTACAGTAGGGCTACGATGGCTATCCGAGTACAGAACCAGAGTACGAAACCTATCCAATTGCAGAGAGGTGTAAGACAGGGTGACGTCATATCCCCGAAACTCTTCACCGCTGCATTGGAAGACGTTTTCAAGCTTCTGGACTGGAAAGGATACGGTATCAACATCAATGGCGAGTACATCACTCACCTTCGATTTGCCGACGATATAGTCCTTATGGCAGAATCGCTGGAGGACATAAGCACTATACTCAATGACCTCAATAGTGCTTCCCAACGGATAGGTCTTAAGATGAACATGGACAAAACAAAGATCATGTTTAATGTCCATGTCACACCTATGCCGGTAGTTGTTGGGAGCACTAAGCTCGAAGTTGTTGACGAGTATGTTTACCTGAGACAAATAGTCCGACTAGGTAAGTCCAACTTCGACCGAGAGGTCAATCGACGGATTCAACTCGGTTGGGCAGCGTTCGGGAAATTACGGCACATCTTCTCGTCAAGTATACCTCAAAACTTGAAAACGAGACTGTACAACCAGTGCGTGTTGCCAATGATGACATACGGAACTGAGACGTGGTCCTTCACTGCTGGCCGGATGAGGAAGCTCAAGGTCGCTCAGCGAGCTATGTAGGGGGCTATGCCGGGAGTTTTTCTGCGTGATAAACTCAGAAATGAGGATATCCGCAGTAGAACCAGAGTGACCGACATAGCCCAACAGATTAGTAAGCTGAAGTGGCAATGGGCCAGCCATATAGCTCGAAGAACAGGTTCTCGAGTGGCAGCCTCGTACCGGCAGGCAATGTGTTGGGCGTCCCCCCACTAGATGGAGTGACGACCTGGTAAGATATGTAGGAAGTTGATGGATGCAAGTGGCTCAGGACCGTGCTTTGTGGCATTCCTTGGGGGAGGCCTATGTTCAGCAGTGGACTTGTGAAGGGCTTTAATGATGATGATGATGAATTAATACCTCCCGCTTGGAAAAGGCTTACAATAATTATATTAAACTTGATCTACTGTCATTAGACAAAAGCCCAAACGAAGCAACCAATAAAGTAAATAATTATTTTATTAATGTTGGCAAAAAATAGCAGAGATAGCTTTAAAATTAAGCAACACTCGTAATCCAATTTTTATGACCACATCCTTTACTAAGTTAAATTCTTTTGTATTGTTAAATACCGATATTGATGAGGTTTTAAGTATAATATCTGGCTTAAAAGAAGATTGTGCAGTTGGATGGGACAATATACCTAATCGCATACTCAAAAGATTTAAACATTTACTGGCCGCCCCGTTAACACATATCTTTCAATTATGGCTATTAAATGGTATTTTCCCGAAAGTGCTTAAAAAAGCAGTGGTTTCTCCTATTTACAAAGCTAGTGATAAACACTTAGTTAATAACTATAGACCGATTTCAGTTTTATCTGGTTTATCTAAAATTTTAGAAAAGATCATAAATATCAGGTTAATACAATACCTGGAAACTAATAACTTACTGTCAGACAGACAATTTGGTTTTAGGCCTAAGAGATCATGTACTATCTCATGCCCTATACTATTGCAGAAGCTTGAAACACTTGGCATAGGGGGAACTCAACTACAAATTTTTACTGAATTACAAAACAGCTCTTATGGAATCCCACAGGGCAGTATCCTGGGGCCTACATTGTTCCTAATTTATATAAATGACTTATGCAATCTTCAACTTCAAAATGGTGTCATAATGTCGTATGCGGATGACACAGCCCTGTTATTCTCAGCTAAATCACGAGATGAGGTTTATAAATACGCTCAGCAAGGCTTTAATATAGTATCTAATTGGCTTCTTAATAATCTCCTACGTTTAAACGCAGATAAAACAAAATATATGTTACCTACTCACCTAAATATTTACGCTCATCATTGTAACTCGTATGATGACACTGCATGTGCATGTCCCGCATTAACAAAAACAGACAATATAAAATATCTAGGTATCACGCTTGACACAAATTTAAATTTTCGCAAGCACATCGATTTACGTTGTGCTAGAGTTCGTAAATGAATATATATATTTTTAAATATCTTCGTAACATCGCTGACTTCAAATTGATAAGACAGGTCTATTTAGCTTTGTGTCAATCCATACTCACTTATGGCATTACTTCCTGGGGTGGTGCTTCTAAAACAATATTGCTCCCACTAGAACGTGCTCAGAGAGCAGTTCTAAAGGTAGCCACTTTCCGTCCATTCATGTTTCCTATACATCAACTGTACTTGGCATGTAGTGTACTAACTTTCCGTCAGTTGTTTATCCTCAACATCATATTAAAACTGCATACCGAACTTCCATTTAAATCCATAGACAGGAGAAGAATGGACTTAGTTTGTGTAAACCCTCAAACAGAATACGCATTTGTGAACAAATTTTACATATTTTTAGGACCCTTTCTATATAACAAGTTTAACAAGTCACTAAAGGTATATAGTGTAAGTTATAAGAACTGTAATATAAGTGTAAGGGAATTTCTAAATAAATTAAATTACGAAGACACAGAGAAGTTGTTAGAAATTCTAAAATAGTTTGTATTAATTGTAGGTAACAAATAACTGTTATTTAGTTATTTTATTTATTATATAATATAGTTTAATTATTTAAATATCTAGTGTCCTACATTATTAAACCGATTGTATAAGTGATGTCTGAAACACAGGTACTCAACTTAGTTCAGGCAGGTAGCTAATATTATAAACTTGACTTTTCTATTTTTCTTTTGTAGATTCTATATTATTAAGCTACACATAGTTTTAATTTTATCATAGCATGTTATTTTTGTTAGACTTATTGTTACTTTATTTAATTTTAATCATATTTGTTCCTGTATGTAAACATGTGTAATTGGAAATGAAATAAATATTTATTATTATTATTATTATTGTGGGTTGTCCATAAAGTTTTCTCATCTGGTTGGGCTGTTAAATATATAATTGCAAACGAAAGATATAAACATACATAAATATCAATAAAATAGAATAAATACGTAAAAAATACATAAATATATAAAAACCCAATCAGATGGAAGCCCTCGGCAGGGGAGACCAAACGGCCGAGGGTTAGGGGGAAAGGGAAAGAAACCGGCGGACGATGCGGGCGGTATCGAGCACCGCCTTCTGTTATTATTATTATTAAAATACCCGACACAAGGGCTTCGCTCACACACATATTAAAAAAATGTGGGGGAGGCAGACGGCTCCACACAGGCCAACGCCGTGTGCGGTGAGCGCCAACCAACCAACCAACGCATTCCATCCGAAGAGGAACTAGAACTAGAAGTTGGGACTGGACCGTAGTCCACAGCAAAATAACTGGCGAAAAAATAAAAAGAGGGCTTGGCCCCTTGGTATTCATAACAGCATTGACAATAGAAATTATGAAATAATATTTGTATAATTAAATGTGTTTTTTGATAGTTTTTGTCATTTTATTCAGGACATTTTCAGGTATTTCCTAGGTGTGGCAAGTTTTCTTTAATAATCTAATTTGTTGCCGTATAAGCAAAATAGAATTCAATGTAATGTAATAAAATAAACGCTAGCTGGTTTAACACTGATTTATTATTTTTATGAAGGTACAGTATCCCCACAAAATATCAATCTACCCCCAATATACTATATCCATCCCTTTATATAATTAACACTGAAGTACAAAAATGTTTTATAACAAAAAAAATTATAAAACGAAAACAAATAAAAGATAACGCTAACTGTAGAAATGGACCGTATACCAAATACAAACTCATACAAAATTAATATACCAGGCGGTCCCATAATGAACTGGCCTGATATAGTTCAACGCGACATGTCGCTACATGTTGTGTTGCATTAAATAGTACGTTTATCGTGCACTTAATATAAGAAACATGCATCGACATGAAATGCTTAGTCTTAGTTTAACAGGCATTTGAATAACGAGAGTCGCGTATTTTTTCAAAATGTCGAAAACTGAGTATCGAAGTGTCATAAAGTTTCTGTTTAAAGAAGGTTTATCCCCTGCCCAAATAAAAGAACGATTGGATGGCGTGTATAAGGAGTCTGCCCCCTCCTATAGCACAGTGAAAAATTGGGTGAAAGAGTTTCGCCTCGGGAGAGAAACCGTCGAAGACTTTGGCCACGACGGTCGACCTGTGGAAGTGCTCACTCCTGAAACGATTGCTCTTATCGAAGAGGAGGTTCTGAGTGACCGCCGTTTGAAGATTAGAGAAATTGCAGCAAGGCTTGGGCTCTCTAACAGTACCGTTCATCGCGCGATCCATGAACATCTTCACATGAAAAAAGTGAGTGCAAGATGGGTAACGAAACTTCTTTCAGCGGTACAGAGACAGGAAAGAGTGCGCTGCGCTTCGGAGTTTTTGGATCTTTGTGGCGAAAATCCAAAGACTGTGATCGAGCGGCTAGTGACTGGTGATGAAACTATGATCTTGTATTATGATCCACAAAGCAAGCGCGAGTCAATGGAATGGCGTTATAAGGGTGAAAAGCCCCCTAGAAAGGCAAAGGTGCAACAATCGACTAAAAAACTGATGTGCACAATATTTTGGGATTTTCAAGGCATTTTGATGGTGGATTTTAAAGAACGTAATAGAGTCGTGAACGGCGAATATTATGCTTCTTTATTATATAAATTACGAGACAAGATAAAGGAAAAACGAAGAGGCAAGCTGTCTAAAGGTGTCCTGTTGCTCCATGACAACGCCCCTGTTCATACCGCTGGTGTTTCGAAGGATGCAGTTCGTCAATGCGGGTTCACAGAAGTTCAACATCCACCTTACAGTCCAGACATGGCCCCGTCCGACTATTATTTATTTCCAAATTTAAAGCGGGACTTAAGAGGAAGAAAATTTTCAAGCGATGAAGAGTTGCAGGCGGCCGTCTTCAGTCATTTTGAGGATAAAAAATGTGATTATTTTTATAAAGGTTTAGAGATGTTGATTCACAAATGTCAGAAGTGTGTTAGTATTTATGGTGATTATATTGAAAAATAAAATTGGTTTCGTTTCATTTCCTTCATTGGTTCATAGTTAGGCCAATTCATTATGGGACCGCCTACGTAAATATCATAATAACGAAGCCACCTAGGCGTAAAATGTAGATATTTCTATATATTATGTTATAATATAAATCACTTCTATGTTTTATGATTGAATGTATGCCATTTAGTAGAGAAAAAATATGTTGAAGTGATGGTTCCCGCGCGGGAGCCGGTGCATGCAGAGCACACGACTCGCAGCAGCGCGCGGCGCGCTCCTTGTCCGCTGACAGCCCTGGCCAGAACATTACATCACGGTCACGCGCGCGCCCTTACCCTCTCTATGCCTAGGTGACCTTCGTGTACTTTTACAATCATTTCGGCTCGTAAACTTTGCGGAATAAATATACAATATATTTTTAATATTAACCCATTCACATATTGGAGTTCTCCACAATATGACCAAAACTTTCTAACGTTTTTATGAACATCATGTTCATTTTTTGGCCAGCCGTTTAATATGTACTTAATTAATAACTGATATTCCTTATCAACCTCTGTCGCCTTTCGAACTCTATCTATTTTTTCTTTACTAAACGGCATACATTCAATAATAAAACATGTTTGCGTCACAACATCCTCAGACACTCGATCGTGCATAAACTCCGGCAGAGGAACCCTCGATAACGTATCGGCAATATACATATACTTGCCCGGAATATACACCACCTTGAAATCGTACCCCTGTATCCTCATCAGCATACGTTGTAGTCGTATCGGTACAGATGACAACGCTTTATTGAACAATGCCTCCAAGGGCTTGTGATCAGTTTGTACGGTAACATCTGACCTGCCATAAATGTACTGTTTAAACCTTTCTGCCGCAAACAGTATTGCCAGCATCTCTTTTTCGATTTGTTCGTACCGGGTCTGAGTGTCGGTGAACGTTAACCAAGGAGGTTGTAAAATATAGGGAGTGTGCACTTCATACTATAGAAACGTTCCTAAATCAGTGACCTTGAAATGAATGAAAGGCACCCAGTTAGGTGTTGCATTTCTTTCTAATAGAGTGTCCATGATACAATATTTTGAGAATATTATTAGTGTATACAGCATCACGGAAAACGAAATGCGAAATGGAAAGTGCTGAATAGTGTTATAATTAAACTCCGTTTAATATTTTGATTACATTATTGCTTCGCTACAGTATCAAACCTTACGGTAACTAGTGGTGGCGTAGCGTGGGTTGACACCCACGGCGGTTTTCTATCATTTGTACGGTAACATCTGACCTGCCATAAATGTACTGTTTAAACCTTTCTGCCGCAAACAGTATTGCCAGCATCTCTTTTTCGATTTGTTCGTACCGGGTCTGAGTGTCGGTGAACGTTAACCAAGGAGGTTGTAAAATATAGGGAGTGTGCACTTCATACTAGAGAAACGTTCCTAAATCAGTGACCTTGAAATGAATGAAAGGCACCCAGTTAGGTGTTGCATTTCTTTCTAATAGAGTGTCCATGATACAATATTTTGAGAATATTATTAGTGTATACAGCATCACGGAAAACGAAATGCGAAATGGAAAGTGCTGAATAGTGTTATAATTAAACTCCGTTTAATATTTTGATTACATTATTGCTTCGCTACAGTATCAAACCTTACGGTAACTAGTGGTGGCGTAGCGTGGGTTGACACCCACGGAGGTTTTCTATCAAGCACCCCCCCCAAAATAAAACCAAAAATGCTATACATGCTAACGGGACTTTATTTTGCTAAAATATTCTAATTTATTATCAAAGTTTACTTTCTTGTCATTTTCGATAGATAAAATGGAAAGATTGGTTAGTCGCGCTTGGCTCATTGTGGACCTTAAGTAAGATTTTATTAACTTGAGTTTTGAAAAGCTTCTTTCACATGAAACTTAATAGTAAGAAAATCTTAGACACAGCGCTAGACTCGGAACAGATTCAGAATAGCCAAATTTTATGACAAAAGCTTCAATGAATTACATTGAACCGCTTCTGGGGAAGAAATGCTGGCAGCTTTCAAGTCGTAAAACCGCCAAAATTATATTATACTGTAGAAAATTCATCGTAGATTTTTGTCAGATTTTGAACTATTACACGAAGATCTTCGTCTGGTGACGTTAGTAGAGTGTAAGGCTGAACAACACTAAATGTCACACGAATATCATTTATTGCTCTGTAGCGATGGTCTAGTTTCTCGTAAAATATGTCAAGACATTCTAACATAGCTCTCTGCAGCTCCTCTGGCAATGTTAGTCCAGCATATCGGGTCATTTCTCCTGGTAAACGTTTTCGATAACTCCTCATTTCTCTTCTTCCTTCAATCGAAATGTCCACATTCTCACATTTTTGTTACGTAGGAAATAGCTTTTTCCACTAGTTGAATACGTTGGCTTTGAAGAAAAATTTTTGGGCTTTGATTTTTATCTCATACTTTTCCAGTGATAATCTAGATTATTATATTGTTTAGTATTTGCTTTTGTGTATAACTAACTTCTAACTAGTTTTTAGGCAAAGAACATTCGTGTAACAGAAACAGAAATTTTTTAATAAATAAAAATTTCAATATAGATTATAAATAATACTTATTGAAAGTTAATCTTTTGTTTAATTACCAATGGTTCGAAAAAAAATCTCTGTCCTGGGAAGAACCAGCAAGAAACCCAGCGGAATTTTTTTTAAATAGTAGTTTACAACCATGTATGTTACACAAATTAACAACAAAACAAATTAGGAATAGCTTGATAGCGATCACTTCATTTCCAGGGGTTATTACCATCCATAAATTTTTTAATATTATAATAACTCTTTTTATACAAACTTAGTTTATTAAAGTTTTTGAACTTTGTGCAGGTCAAATTTTGTAAATTTTCTGGAATTTTGTTGTAAAAGCGTATAAATCGCCCCAAGAATGTATTACTGACTCGATGGAGTCGAGTAACTGGCACTACTAGCTTGTGTCTGTTAGTATTTACAGAATGAATATCACTTATTTTTGTAAAACTACTTTTATTTTTGTGTACGTACATTACATTTTCATAAATGTATTGAGAAGCCAAAGTTAATATATTAATTTCCTTAAATTTTTGTCGCAGCGACTCTTTAGGCTTTAAATCATAAATTGCTCTTATTGCTCTCTTCTGTAAAACAAATATAATTTCAGTGTCAACTGCGTGTCCCCATAGCAAAATACCATACGATATTATGCTATGGAAATAGCTAAAGAAAAAAGTAACTAGCCTAGCTGTTTCAACACTGGAAAGACTTCTAAACTTTTTTACAGCATATGCTGCAGAGCTGCTTGCTAATTTTGATATATGGGGGCTCCATTGAAGCTTGGCTTCTAATGTGATTCCAAGAAAAATGGTGGTATCCACAAGTCTCAGTTTCTCTCCATTTAAAAAATTATATTAGAATTTAATTGTTTGACATTGAGAGTCATAAATTTCATACATTAAAGTGTTTTAGTGGTTTTTTTCGGGTTACTTAATAATAAGCTTAATTAAAATACAATACGGAATATACCAACTACGGTTAGCGATAAAAAATGTAAGATTATCGTTCTAGCATACGTCTAAAATATTACTTTAAGTCAATAACTGTCTAAAAATTAGTAATGTTTTTATTTTGTGTAAACATTTATCAATGTTAGAAGGAGATAAAATACCAAACTCGGTGCCTCTCTTTGTAAGAAAAATGAGGAACGCTTACAATGTTCCAAGCGCTCACTCCTTACATTATATTATAACCTCCTTGGCGTTAACGAAGCAAACTCCACTGGATGGCCGGCCTGCAGCAGCAAAGCTCCCAGCGCTCTAGCACTCGCGTCTACCGACACCACCACCGGTAGCTCCGACGAGTAAAATGCTAACACTGGTGCAGATGAAATTTTATTTTTAAGATTGTCTATAACATCTGAGTGATGTGGCTCCCACAGCCATCCAAAAACCAGAGTGCACATCCAGCACGCTGAAGTACGTAGCACCGCGCAGCCGCGCTGCCAGCTCGCTCACCGTGGGCAGCGAGTAATGCGCGCGCCGTACCACGCGGTTAAGCGGTCTCGGGTCCAAACACACACGAATATCACCATTCTTTTTCCTACCAGCACAATAGCGTTAACCCATTCCGTAGGATGTGTGACTTTCCTGATAACGCCTATTTTTTTCATCCTACGTAACTCTGCTAAGAGTTTGTCTTTCATCTCCATTGGTATTTCCCTAGTAGGGCAAATCACTGGCTGTACAATTTATCTACGACAGTAGAATACTGTCCAGGTAACTTACCCAGTCCTTCGAAGAGATCAGAAATTGTATATTTATACCGTCAACACGGGATACGAGTCCTAACATGACACAGCCTTCCAATCCCAGAATATTTTGACAGTTTAAATCTGCTACAACAAATGGTAAAATGTAATGTTTACTTTTATAAATAAATGGTAATTCGTACATGTCCAGAATAGGTAAATTATTACCAGTAAAAGATTGTACACATTTGTTAAAATATTTTAGGTTATGAATCGACATGTCTAAGTTTAAATAATCATTTTTCGAAATTATATTTAACATAGAACCTGTATCTAGTTTAAAATGCACTTGTCTACCATTACATTGAAAAATAACATTCCATTCTTTAGGGAACTTACATTTTTTATCCTGGCTTAATATCATGTCCACATAGAACATTTCGGCATCGTACATGTTTTCGGGCTCACACACATTCAGGTTTAAAACCTTATCACGCACACTTTAGCGAAATGCCCTTTTTTATCACACAGATAACACAATGCATCCCGCGCCGGACATCAGTCGTCGGTGGAGCACCAAACATTGCCACATGACAAGCAGCGTTCACATGTTCGCGAAGCCACCGACCCGGCACCGAACCCCGGTCCGCGGCCACGAGCGCCGCGCCACGTTCCGCGCGACCTTACTCCATGGCTGCGTCCGACACCCCGTAGCTGTGACCGCTTGCATCCCTTACAGCATCA